TCAAAGTTCCAATGCATAGTACCATGCCTTCTAGAGTGGTTAGGAGCTATAGACATGTTGCTTCTTGCTTTTATGCTTGAGTGTGATCAGAGGAAGCAATGTATGGGCTCAAGGAGTTGACATTTTGATTAAAGTCACTTTACAAGAATGGAAGTGTTAGCTTTCTTCCCTTAATGGCAAAATGAATTGGATAATGCTTGAATCAAATGGACCATAGCTCAAAAGCTTATGTAATCTTCTGACTAGAGATAGATTTACAAGTTTAGAGGCCTGCAAAGGGAGATTACAAGGCATGTCATTAAGATTTGATCATAAGGTTTTCAAAACAATGACCTATAATTCAAGTTTGACATGCTATCTTCATCTCTTCGAAACTTCTAGCTCAAGTATGATAAATTTGTGTTCTTGGAAGTTTTAGAAAGCTTGAATCAATATCTACAACTTTCATGTTGTGAGTTTTTTCTGAATCAATTTGGATCTTAGTGAAAAATGGCCATAAAGTAATGACTTTGTTAAGAACAAAACACTTAGAATTTTTTTTTACGTGTTGGGTAAAAATAATCAGAACTTCATGGGCTCATATCTTTTAAATTAAGCACTTTTTGAGGATCATCCCACATTAACAAAGTTGTAGAATTCATTAATCCCTACAACTTTCATGTTAAAAATTTTCCTTGAATCAACTTGTATCTTGAGGAAACTTGCTTGTGAAGTTAGGGTTTTTTAGGCATAAAAACTTGAATTTTTTCTAAGTGTTTGAAAATCTTCAATTTTGACTTTTGTTGACTTTCTTGATTCTATTGATTCTTGATGACAAAGTTTGATAATTTTGAATGTTTTGATGATTCTTGATTTTTGAATTCCAATGTTGACCAAAAAAGTCAAAGTTTGACTTTTGTGTGACTGTTGACTTTTCATCAATTGATTCAATTCTCCAACTATCAGTCACTTGCATCTTTGGAAATATCTTGAACCATGCAATTAGGTCAAGATGTTGTATTTGAGCCCTTGAGATAATGCTTCAAGCCATTAGGTCATGCATTAGGCCAAAAGTCAATGATCAATCATCTTTAGTCAAAACCCTAATTTGGCAATTCCTTTGATGATTTGAGGGTTTTCCTTGAGGAATCATGATCAACCCTTGATCAAATGATGAATATCCCTTCAAAATGTTGATTTTTACCAAAAAATATTGAAGTTTGACTGTACGTTGACTTCAGTTGACTTTTTACCCAATACAGTTGATTTTCAATCATTTGAGCCATTGAGTGAGCAAATATGTGATGCAAGATTTGAAACTTGACATACGAATTATTGAAGACCTATGATGAAACATGAAAGTCATTTGAGACCCTTGCAACCCAATCTTCCTTGAGAAACACAAAACCCTAGTTGAAGACCCTTGCTTAGGAGGAGATTTTGACCAATCAACTCTTGAGTAGTTTTGAGCAAATGGGGATCTCATGAGAATGTCTTGAAGAAAATGGGAGGGAAAATTTTGGGGTAGAACACTATCATAGTGGATTTCTTTTCTGACTTGGTAGCCTCCAGAGTAGGTGACGTTGCATCAAACCGGGTTAATAATTAATTGCGTTAATTTATCTTCAGCAATTTATTTTTTTGCATAATTCATCTTCTGGATATTGTTGTATCAGGAACAACTATCGTAACATATGACTTGACATTATATTTGGTGTTGGGACATCAATCTTGACATCTATTTTAAGTAACGGAATTTCACCTTGTTTTCTGCAAAATTCATTACACACTTCTGAAATAGCCTCAAGGCATTCATAATGCCTTAACCTGCAATCCCGTAGCTCTTTCTTGTCATGAAAGCCTCCACTAGATGATGAATGAATAACATCATTTGAACCTTATAGAATATATAGAACACATATTTTAGACCTTTTAGAAATAATCACTTCATCATGTGAAATCTTCAACACTCTATGTTCAACTCTAATGCAATAGCCTAGAGCAATAAACATGCTTATAGATAAAAAAAATTTGCTTGAGTTCTGGAATATACCTCATGCTGTGAATAAGGAACTCATGATCATCAAACATTTTAAATCTGATAATACCAATACCATGAATCTTACAAGCCTTATTATCATCAAGAATAACTACTCCACCTTGCACCTACATCAAAGTCTCAAAGTATTATATGCTTGGAAAAATGTGATAAGAGCAACCTGAGTCTATGACCCAACTATCTTCATTTTCTAAAGTCGATGCCATTCGCGCTTCAATATTCCCATAATAATCCTCATCTGAGACAACCGCAACTTGAACATAATCATCATTTATCTTTCTCTTAGGACAATCCTTTTTAAAGTGATAGGTTTTCTGACATTTAAAACATTTTAACTTTTAGTTGTCAAACTTCTTTTATTTGAACATTCCTCTATGCTCAGTTCCTCCTCTAAAGACACTCAAGCCTTCACCAATATCTTCAATTTTCAAATCTTTTACTTTTGAAAATTCTTTGGATTTTACCGTCATATGGACTTCATCCAAAGTGATAGTACCTTCCTTACCATAAAGAAGGGCATCCTTAAAGTGCTCAAAGGATTTGGGTAATGAACTCAACAAGAGTAAAGACTTGTCATCTTCATCAATCTTAACTTCAATACTCTTAAAATCATCAATAATCTTGTGAAATTTTGTAAGTTGCTCCTCTATGGATTTGTCCTCCACCATTCAGGATGAATAAAGTTATTGTTTCAGACACAACCTATGAGGCAAAGACTTTGTCATATACAATGATTCAAGATTTGTCCACATCAAAGCACCAATCTGCTCTCTGGAGAATTCTCTTAGAAATTTATTCCCGATGCACAAGATAATGGTTCTCTTGGCCTTATGCATCATCTCACTATTTTCTACCGGTGTAAACCTTATAAACATCAATGCCTCTATCTTTAAAGTTTCAACACACTTCTCTTGAATTAAAATTTCTTGCATCTTCACTTTCCACAATCCAAAATCATTGTCTCCAAAATATTTCGTGATCTCCCATTTAACCATGGTATTCACTTGTAAACAATATCCCTTTGCCCCACGGTGGGCGCCAATTGTAATAAAAATGATAAGGTTCAATTCACATCAAGAAATTTGATGTGTGGTGACAAAGAATAGTAGCAACCAAATAAATGGACCTCCAACAATAATAAATAATAAGCAAAAAATATAATAGAATAAGGCAAGAAAAAGTGAAATGTTTGTTTATCCAGTTTGATCAAAATATCTACATCTAGGGAAGATAGCAGCTCTTAAATTCACTATACTCAGAAAATTATTACAAAAGATTACAAATGAGTTGTAAGGAAATAATCTTCGCCTTCTCCTTTAGAGTTTCCAAGAACAAACCCTGAAGGCTCCCAAGAACAAACCTCTATTTTCTACCCAAGTGTTTCCCAACATCTCCAACTCTTAATATATAAATCACTTAAATCCAAGATCTTAGATGTATTTCTCAATCTCATTATCTCCAAAAGTTTTCCAAAAAACTTTGTCTTTCTAAGATTTCTCTTAGAATTTCCTAAACCTTTATTTTCCCCTTTTGCTCTAAAGCTCTAATATTGTCACACTGTAATAATAAAAGAGATACACATTTATAATTACTAACATCCAACAAATACATAACAAATCCAAAACATACCTCATTAATCGTTACAATAAAGATATTATTATAATCTTATAATATCTCTTAGAATATTATAAATATATATCTTATAATATCTCTTATAATATTATATATATATATATATATATATATATATATATATATATATATATATATATATATATATATATATATATATATATATATATATATATATATATATATATATATATATATATATATATATATATATATATATATATTTTAGAATATTATAAATATCTTATAATATCTTTTTATGTTAATTTATATGATCTTTAAATTAGTATAAAATATTCTTACATTAATGAATCCACAAACTAAATCAACTGAACCCGATATCTGTGAACTATTTAGACCAGATTATTTTTCGACTTTATAATTTCTGACAATCTCGAAATATATTTTCTTTTTCTTCATCACTTAAAGATTTTAAAACATACTTCAACCGAACATACAACTAGAAACGTAGAAATCACATCACCAACTCAAGTGCTTAGTAATAAATAACAACATATAAATATTAATATGTTAGACCAAACATTTTATTTTAGATTGGACTTTAGGATTTGGGGTCTCTGCCACAATCAATTCTAAAGATTTTTGAATTGTTTTAGGTTTTAGTTTTGAAAAACAAGTGTGTTTAGACTCAATCTCTATCTTCAATTACATGATGTGGATTATTTGATAATTATGCCGAACAAAATTATTTTTGGTAGCCAAAACTTTATAATTAATTATTAAGATATCTCTTTATTAGATTGGGAGTGGTATTTGCTTAAGTGGTTAGACTGTTAGGGATTTGTTGGATGATCAGTCCTTTTTTTTGGTTTCGTGTAGGTGTGTTCATGCATATTTTCTTCTAAGTTACTCTCTCCGAAGGTCTATTTTCGAATTCAATATAACAATTATTGAGTCACTTTTTGTTCCTCCTCGGTGTTGTCCATTTTTATCCCTTTGTAACTATTTTTCCTATTTAATCTAATATATGGTTGTTCCTTTGCTATTAAAAAAAAAGACTTCACATTTATAAATGTGAGTTTCGAATGTTGTTGGCAACTTTTATGAACCCAATAAAATTAAACTTTTTGTATTAACAAGATGATTCGATGAACACACTGATCACAACCAAGTTTCATTTTCAAATGTACTAAAACTACAAATAAGACATAATTATTAAGACAGAAAACAACCAAACATAGGACGTCCTATAAACTAACACCATTCCCTTTGTACTAAATGGCAAATGCTAAAATACATAATATAATCTTATTATTTCATAACTCAAGCCTTACAATACTAATTCCCTTCTTCATCAGCATGCAAGACTTTATGCATTTAGAATATAATCATCAACCTTAAGAAAGGTCTTAAGAGCAAATTCTTTAATGATCTCTGGTTCAGGAACCTCTTCGCTATTTTTTTCATACTCAATGGACCATTTCACCAAGCTTCCATCACCCTTAGGAGTTACACTAATGTCTCCCTTAAATTTCTTGAAGTACTTGAGAATGTCCCCATCAATAACACTATAGGTTAGTGTCCTCTCTGAATCCTCAACAACATCAATCTTCTCTTTTATTATCTTCACAAGTGGTGACCCTAAAAATTACCACAAATAATTCAGAAGAGAGTGTCAGTGTCATTTTAACGTATCTCATAGTGTCAATATCTCACAAGAGATAAGTGTAATTTTCACTATAAATTATTAATAAGGAAGAAAGTTTAAAACACCTTCACCAAAAGTTATTAAACGGACAGAACCAACACTCTTTCCATCACCTTGAAGAATCTCAATGCTTTTGTAGTCATTTGGGAAAGCCTTAGGGAATATAGCTGCAGACTCTTTAATAATACTCCAGAACTTATCTGCATTAGACTTTACTTCAATTTCTACATCAAGCTTTCCATTGCTAGCCATTGTTTATCAGTTACAAAGTAAAAATATATGTATTGAATATGTTATGCTTATCAAGTTGGATACTTGTATATATAGAGAAAATATGTGTTTGAAACAAAAGGAAATTAATGTATAATTTAATTCACGTGGTGGTTGTTCAACTACCACAGAAGACATTTTATCAAGTGCAATCTTTCACATGCTAGAATAAAGTTAGGTCCCAAAAGGACTTATATTCTAGTGTAAGTTATTTACGAAAGGTTTATTACCATTTCACTCCAATATCATATAGGTAATTTCTAATTTATTCTCTGTAATTTTTTTTAAGACTAACACTTGAAGATTATGTTGTTTAAATCTTGTAAAAGTTTTATTTTTAAAATCAATCTTATCACTTGAAAATTTGGTCATTTTAAACACTATAATTTTTTGTTTTTGTAAAATTTATCTTGTCCAGTCAGATTTCGGATGATTTAAAATGACAAAATTTTCAAATTAAAAAAATTTAAAATCATAGAATCTTTAAATAATAAAGTTGATTTTACAAAAAAAAAAATTACAGAATTTAAAATGAAAAAATCTTCAAATAACTAGATTGTTTTTAGAAAAATAATTTTATCAAATAAACTAAAAATCGCCTATATGATAAGAGGATAAAATAATATTAACCATTATGAAATTTTAGTCTTTCAATTTAAGGTTTCAAAGATCCTTAATAATAAGCACATTTACAATTAATTAGTCAAGGGAATAATGATGTTACGAAGTAGTATATAGTAAGTAATTTTAGTCTTTCTCTATCCCATTATATATTTGATGATTAAAATAAAGTTTTAATATTTAATGTTATTTTATGATAATCTCATTTTATTAAATTCATCTTATTATATTTATTAATATTTAATTGTGCTGCATTAACCATATATTTAAAGTGTCATTCGATTTGATATCAATTAGTTTTTTTAGTAATTTTATGTACACACATTTTATTCTCAAATAAAAATAATAAGTAAAAAGAATCTGCATCTATTTTCAATAGAAGTAAAAAATTTAACAATTGTAACAACATTTTGGGTGGTTAAAAATGTTTTATTTATGGAAAGGTGTTTATTTTTGAAAGGGATTGTGTTTGGTCAAAGAGAGTTATCACTATACTAAAACATATTACCAGGACATAGAGGTGTTGGATGTACTATAGTAATGTTAATTAAAATAAGTACTTATATAATACTATTTAGTGGTTGATTGAAATATGATTTCTTGGAATTGTATGATAGGTGGTGCACCATTTTTCAAAAGAATGTTTATGTTTATCAAAATCAAATAAATTCTACCACCCAAGTTTAGTACCATGTATACTAGTCTTTCCATTTTAACTAGCCATCTTAATTTTGTTCATTTAAATACTAGTCAACATGTATGGTATATTATGGCCAAATGTTGGTGTATGTTAATCTTACGGCTTTCATTTATTTAGTTATAAACATCACTTATTTTAGTGTATTCGAACATCTCATTAAAGTGACACATTAGTTCAAACTAATATGGCTGCTACTATGATCAAACTCTTAATACTTATGGGAGTTTCTTTTTTGGCTTCAGTTTGTATCACTTTTAGATCCGATCATGAGAACCCCTTTATCTTTAAGTCTAATAGGTTTCAAACTCAAATTGATTTCAAATTCTTTGTAAGAATGAAAACGGTTACATCGTCTTCTCCAAAAGTTTGATAAACATTTTAAAATATTTGAAAATCATCAAAACTACCGTCTTTTAGAATATAAGTCCAAACCACACTTTTTTTTTCTTCCACAATACACCAAAGTTGACTGTATCGTCCTTAGTGGTAATGTATTACTTATAAATTTATAGATTACAAATTGATCATCGATAATTTTTCTATAAATAATGATATTTCTTACTTTATAAATTTGTTTTTTGTGAAGATAAATTAAGTTGAAAATAAAAATCTAATCTTAATTGCAATATACAAGAAATCTCATTCTCACTGTGTTGAATTTCAATGATCGAAACTCCTTTAATCTTGAACTTGGTGACAACATCAAACACCCATTACTTATTTGGCTAGCCGAGATAACAACAAGGATCTTAAAGTATTAGATCTTGTCATCTCATTAAATAGACCCGGTCAATTATAGGTAATCAAGTCGGACTTTACCTTTTCTAATATTATATATTGTCTACATTTCTATAAATAATTTTAGAGTGATCTACAGTAGCATCACAACAACAATTGTGTCTCCATTTTCTCACACTATATTGTAAATTTTTCTCCTCTTGCCATTATTTATTTATAATTTTTTCAAGTCTTTGTTATTATCTGGAACTCAAAATCAACCTTCTTTTGTATTTAGGTTCAACAAGAATATTTTAGAGGCTGCTTTCAATGTAAGCATACAACAAACAACCTTTATTCAGTTTCATGTACTAGTTTAGTTTACTTCATGTAAATATTCACTTTGTCCTTTAATTAATCGTTGAAAATAAAGACCAATTACGAGAAGGTAGAAAAGGTTCTTTTAGAAGAGCAGAAACAAGATCCACAACACCAAAAAAATCCTTTGGAATAGAAGATAAGAGATCAACGAAGAAGATGTAATAGTCAAAGTATCAAGGGAACAAATTGAGAAACTGGGAAAAAATGCAAAGTCGAGCTCCAAAATAAATGTATCATCGGAATCTAAACCATTCAACTTGAGAAATCACAATCCTATCTATTCTAACAAGTTTGACAAATTATTTAAATTCTTTGTTCTTTTCCTCCTCCTTTAGATAATGCTTATCTACCATTGATTGATAGAGAGCTTTATCATTGGATGTGAGGGACATGCGTGGATCATCGTACAGTCATAAAAGACAACTTGTAAGATGTTTTTAGCAATTTTCGTAAGGGACTAAGATCATTTATCGAAGGCAACTTTTGAAGGATCATAGAGAGACTATGATCTTTTAATCGAGTGTCTTTGTTAAAACATCCCATGTTCGAGGGACATGACTGTTTATATCTGAGGCAACAAGTGTGGGTTAACCTAGAGGTATAGTGTGTGCAAAGTGTATTTTATTCAAGTATTTTGTCTTGCATTTAGGTTGTCTAGTATTGATTTTAAGTCTTGCCATACAAACCCTAATTACTAGCAACAATATGGAAAGTGATAAATTGCGGAAATTAAATATCCTACACTATTATAATACTTTAGGGGATGGGGGATACAAATTTACAAATGGGGATGACAAGTAAAATAAACCCTAATTACTATTATAAGGCTTTGACAATTACATAAATTATAATGCAAAATAGTGAAATGCTCAAAGAAAATATAAGAGAGAAGAAATTATTTTTGTGGTGTTTTTTGATGGAGGAGGTTTTATGTTTAACCTAATTAGTATAATTAATTTACAAGAAAATTTAATTAATTTATATAACAAAAATACAATACTCTAAGTCAGTTAAAAGAAAATTAAACAAAATCTAAGTCTAGTTTAGTTTTAATTCTAAAATGGGAAAGATTAATTAAAAATATTCTTGGAGTTTTATTTATAAAAGTAAAGTAAAAATGAAATAAAATAGAAAGTTTTTAGTCTATTTATTTAAGAAAATATATTTTGTATTTTAATAAAATAAAATAAAATAAATGAAGAAGATATAAAAATGAATAAAATAAAAAGTTGGGCCAGGGGGAGTTAAAAAGTAGAAAGAGTGTGAAAAGTAGTAACAAGTTTAGGCCCAAAAACAGTTTTTTTATTGGAATCAGAAAATAAATAAAAAATAAAAAGAGTTATGGGCATGCGTTGTAACTAGTAAATTGGGGGGTGTGCTGAAGAGAAAAGGCTGAGGCCCAAAGATGGAAGGCCCAGGCGCGCTTGTGAGTGTGAAAAGGAGGAAAATAATATGGAAAAAATCAAAAGGGTACTACTGGGGCTCGAACCCAAGTCCCTACATACCAATGCCTTACGCGCGCTCTCTCTGCCACCGGGTTGGCTAATTCATCCGGTAATAAAACATGTTAAAATAAATTTAAAATAAACCAAGTCCTGACTATACTTCATCTTTTTCCTCACGCCATAACCAGAACAACTTTTTTGAACTTTGTAACTTGCTCATTTCTCAACCATTTCAGAAATTGTAAATATCAAACTTGTTAGAAATTTCATCACGATTTTAAATATGTAAATAACTTAAGCTATGGATAAAAAATGAACATGGATTTTTCTTGGTACCAAATTCTGACCTAATTTTTCAGAAAGTTCAAACTCAAAATTCACATCACTCAGGAAATATAAATGAAATCTAAGGGTATGGTGAGCTTCAGGGCTATGATGTCTACGTTTTATCTTTACAAATCTGTTGTACCCCAAAAATTTTCCTCTCATGTTTTCCAAGGTTTTTTTCTCTTATATGGATGGTTACAAGCACTTGCCTAAAGAAAATAAAAAATTTTAATGTTAGCAAAGTGTCTTTCGATTGGCAATTCAGCAATGTCCTCCGATTGGCATCTGAACAGGGTACTTCGATTGGCATTTGAATAGGGTACTTCGATTGGAATCTGAGCAAGCTTCGATTAGGCGTTGAACTTCCTTTGACGCAAGCCTGATTCACAAGCTTCGATTGGGTGATGGGCCCCCTTCGATCAAGTTCAAATCACAAGGCTTCGATTGCGTATTGGTTGCTTCAGGCTTGCCTTTGAGTCACAAGGCAGGAACTTCCTTCATGTCAGCAGGCACAAGGCAATGGCCTCCTGCATACATATGATAACGAGAAATCGTATCATATAATTACTACACTTTTTATCGATTTTCATAATACATTGAGTCGTTTAACTCCCGATTGTTCTGAGTTTTTATGTCTTTTCACAGGTACAACATGTTTAAACTCAAATCAGTGAAAAAGGATCATATGAAGGAAGCTAACCAAGAATCAGAAGAAAAAGAACCAAATCTGCAAAGTCTGCAGATTTTGTAGCTGCGACGACCGTCACACCCCATGACGAGCGTAACTCTCT